ACTTGCGTGTGGCTGCCCACACTTGACTCTTCGGTAGCAAGCTGCCCCCTGTGACTTCTTCAAAGTTTTCATAGGTCTCATACTTCCTCAGCACACACTCCATAATCCCAACTGCCTAGAAAGAGGCATGAGGTGAGACAAATGGCAACAGTTTCAGGACTTAAGCCCTGTTCACACCAAGAACGATAACTATAAAGATAACGATATTAGCGTCCACACCAGCGAACGATATCGTCTGTTTATTCTAAAGGCCCGTTCACACCAAGGACGATAACTATAAAGATAACGATAAAGATATAGTTCTAAAAATCGTTCTCAATATTAAAGAATAGCAGAGTCCACACCACAACTATAACGATAAAGACAAAGAGAAACGATATAGTTGGAATCACTTTCAAACTGATTTTTCTCCAGCTGATGACAACATTGTTGCCGTTGGCCTCACTGTGCGTGCAGATGCTCTCTGTTCTGTTCACTCTACACAGTAATCTAGAAACAATGTGAATGAACACCACAACAGCTTAAGCAGCAAACTTTGCAAAACACAAAATGTATGTCACTACCAAAACTTTTGGCCACAACTGTAGAAATTATAGATAAAAATGGTTAAAGCTCTTTAAAAATTCAGTATTTTACTTGTATAATTTCAAGCTTATTAGAATATTGCATCATTAGCTTTGCAACGTGCAAACATGTAAACTCTACAGAAATCAACTGTAATTGGAGTCTCTCACGCGCTATTTATAAGGCACACAGAGTTGCTCCCTACATAGAGTGTTCCAAATCGGTCACTTATGAGGTTTCTATTTCCGTTAAGTTGCTACCTTAAGGTGCAGTCACTTTATTGAAACGTCTGTAAAAATGAGTGGGCAAAAAGGGTCCATTGTCTATTGTCAATACTGTAGTAATGTATGAAGCGCTGCTCACACAGAAGCCCCTTTCAAACCAAGCTGCTTACTGTTGGTCAACGTGGCGAAACAGCAATATCTAAATAAGGGGAGTGTTCCCACTCATGTTTTCTTATTGAAATAATTGGATTTTTTCATGAAAATTCACAGAACTTAAATGTGACTGCAGTTGACACTGACAGTAAGGTGGCTCACTGGACCTAAACTTGTGTATTTTTGATATAAAACATACCTGGGACAGAAAGAGACTGGATCCCTCTCTGTACTTCTCCAAAACACTGACAGGCTCTGGGGAGGCATACTCAAACTGGGGCTCATACTGATAGTCAGAATGAAAAAAGGTCTGACGCTCCTGTTCCAGGTTTACGGGACGAAGAGCCACAAGCAGGCACGGCCCACGAGGTGTTGATGGCGAAGGAAGTGGAGCGATACCCCTGGCAATATGTGGCAAGGAGGTTGCAGGTCTCATTTGACCCCTGCCAGCACGTGGGGGTGTCGTGGAGTTCATTGTACATGTGCTCTCACTCCGGCGAAGCCAGTTCCCTGGCCCCAAACTAAGGCTTGTCAGGCTTCGCATGGGTGGAGAAGGGCCACCACTACGCCACGGTGGCTGTATCACCTTCTGCACTGGCTGTGTTGCTCTAATTCGCTGTGGTTTTATTTCCAGACTAAGTGGCCTTCGACAAGGTAGCGGTTTGGAAGGTTCCCTTGGCTGCGCAGATTCTCCTTTATTTCTACCTTCTGTCTTCTGGAGTCTTCGTTGAACCTGGGAGCAGCCATCCCAAGTGGTACAAGGCTGCGTGTGAGGCCCATTGTGGGTCGATTGGTCTCTTTGGGTGATACTGCTGGTCCTGACTGGTTTGGGGTTCTCTGTGCTGGGCTCTGGTTTTAACATTTCTGAGACATTCTTTGCGAGCCCTCCTCCATTAGCCTGCTCCATGCAGTTCTCACCCAGATCCAGCACCATTGCTACATCCACGCCCTTGTCCACCAATGCTGCGCACTTGAAGAGAAAAACATACCTCCACTTCCTGATTCAACAGCACATAAAAACAGTACGTTTAAAAAGATTTGACACATAAGGATTTAAAACTCTTTATGCAAACAAATGATTTAGAATTGACAAAAAATACTTTTGGGACGGGGACACATCTTGCTATAGTCCAATTAATGGAGAATTAATTTACTCCAAATGAATGAATTTGGTTGATTCTTATAATTATTATGCATGCCGTTTCATAACCTCATATTAATTTAGAGACTAGATGTGAATATTTGTACTTTTAGAGATGCATCTTTCATACAGCAGGGGCTTTTAAAATATATAGTAAATAGTACGGTAAATGTAACATATTCGAAAAAACTTTTATCAGTTTAAAACCTTGTCAGAAACTTATGAAGGAATCTGAAGGAATGTTTTTATTTATTTATGCATTTATTTTTACTATTATACTATTTATTTTAAGTCTGATTGGATACTGTACCATCTTTATCAGATCTACTATTGGGATACGGTCTTGCTATTGGCCAATAAAAGTAAACTATACAGCGAACTTTAAGTATTTTACAATTTTGAAAGATTTTTCTACATTTACATTTTTTCAAAAAATTTGTATATTTATTTTGATGTCATAAAAGAGCATGTATTCCATTCGAAATTTTAATAGATCTAGTGGGAAACGTTTTATGCATGCTGGAAAAAATCATACAATACACCTCGTTATGGAAATTCCAATAGGATTCCTATTTCTGGCTAATTTTAGAACAATAAAGTGATCTTAGAATAGTGAAGAATAAAGTCAGGCTATTGCTTACAGAAAATTATGTCAGTGCATAACTGATGCATGACATCAACAGCACTTGCACTGCCGATTTACCACGAATGAGCAATTTTAACACATAAAGCAATATGTATAACAGACGCAACACATACCGCGCAGCGCTTCTTTTCACATAAATTAACTTCAGTTCATTTTGGAATTCCGTCCATAATATCAGCAGCAGCTCTTCAACTTCCGTTCGGTAGGTCAAGCGGCTGATATGGAGGAATAACTGTACATGACGCCGGGAATAGGATTGCGATTGGGATGGCTGGGATTGCGTTGCAGCAAATGACGCGCTGGCGCATCTAAATGATCTATTCGCGTCGCGACGCTTTGCTATCAGTGTGCGTAAGCACGTAAGGGAGACCGGGGCACGTTGTCACTTTAATTCCAATAAATGTTTCTCCGAGTAATTTTATTTTTAAATGTCAATTTCTGTGTAGCCACATACAGATAAAGCTGTTGAACCTTTCCATAATCATCCTAAGAAGAAAGATATAGACTCATTCGCGGGGCACGTTGTCACAGTAAACCTGCAGCACTGATTACATTATGATTTGCGAAATAAAATGCAAAGCATTGCAGAAACGTTAAAAAGGATCATTAATGAATTGTTTAAAAATACAGCATAAACATATGTAACCATCTCTGTCCCAGGAACACAGTTCAGTCTACACTCTAAAATAGGGTGACCATACATGCTATTTTCCCAGGATGCGTCCTGTCCAGGATTTCTATATTGCCTAAAATATCTAGGTTTTGGCTTTGTTTGCGTGTGCAGACCGATCGGTGTATGGCATCAAAATACCTCGAGAGCATTTTGAAAGCATAAGGAACCGTCTGTATGGTATTTAGATGTCATACACCGATCGGTCTGCACACGCAAACAAAGCCAAAACCTAGATATTTTAGGCAATATAGAAATCCTGGACAGGACGCGTCCTGGGAAAATAGCATGTATGGTCACCCTACTCTAAAAAATGCTGGGTTAAAAACAACCCAGTGCTGGGTAAAATAGGGACAAACCCGGCAATTGGGCTGTTTTGACCCAGCGGTTGGGTTAAATGTTTAACCCAACATTCTGGGTAGTAACCCAACCGCTGGGTCAAAACAACCCAATTGCTGGGTTGTATTTAACCCAGCATTTTTTAGAGTGTATACATTGACAGTATCAGAGACTCTTTGAATAAGAAAGCTGTAAGAACTTTGAAAGCTTGTGAAGTTTATAATATATTTATTTGATTTTAATATGTATATGTACGTGTATGTATGTATATCTTGTGCACACAGTTCCATCTTATGGTTAAAATGTACCTTAATTTGAATAGTTGGCTCTAGCATGAATCTAGTGTGTTTTTGTTGTGTTCACTTATTACCTAACAGTTGCTACTTCAATTACTTAAAAAAAGAATACATTTATTTATACAAAGAATACATCATAATAATAAAAAAAACTTGAGATTGAGATGAACAAGGGAAGACATACAAAAAAGTAGTAGTGTCATATATTTATTTTTTGTATTTTGATTATAATTAAAATCGAAAATGCATCTTGAACCCGAGTAAAACATGAGTATGAGTTGAACTCATTAAAATGCACAAATTTTAATCTATATATATATATATATATATATATATATATATATATATATATATATATATATATCATAAAAACACAAATCTGTTTATAATTTTCATTTCAACTGGTATAAGTTAAAAATGGTATACCATATCATAAACATTTGCCACGTCATTAACAGCCTGTTAGTAAAGTGCATTAGGTGCATCCCAATTTGTGTACTTATGCACTATTCCATTTTGTAGCATAAAAAAGTGCAGTTTAAATACACAGATGATGCACTTAATTAACCAAGAAAATGAAGTGTGGAATGTTGGACACTTCACGCACTCAACTGTCTGAGCTTTAATTACACAGCGGAGGGGAAGGGCTATCAGAATCCAATGCTGAATGACAAAATAACATTATAAAATTCATACACTATACAGTTAAGTATATGCGTAGTGCATAATGTAATTTTTAACATTTACATGCAAAGTTGAATCCAAAACAAAAGTAAAAATAAAGTTCTCTGGGCTAAAGTCTAAAATAGGTGACAACCCACATTCCCTATGGATTTAATCTGGAATTCAACTCTGATCACTTAATACAGCATGATTCCAAGTGCACAAAGAGCTGTTCTTGCAGCTTCATTTGTATAACTAGCCCTCTATATTTAAAAAGATCAAACAAAAATTCAGTTTATTATTTTTATCTCACCTGTAAAGGCCAGAGGGGAACATTGATGTCTCCATGGACGCCATCGGGCTTAAACATGGACTCTGTTCCCCCAGTGGTGAATGAAAGTATGGCCTTCTTAGCCTGGTGTGAATAGTGAATGACATTTTAATCCGATTAAAATCTGATCACCATTAGAATTACAAAAACAGACTCTTTCCTTGTAATCCGCAATGTCAAGCAAGCAAAACAAGCTTTGACTCTAAAGATTCAGACCTTGAAAATGCCATTGTCATACATCTTCTGCAGGGTGAAGGCAAATCCTTGAGTTAAGACTCTGTCTATCCAGCCCTTCATGATGGCAGGTATACTAAACCAGTAGAGGGGGAACTGTAAATATTATCCAAATCATATTATTTTCTCAGATCAAAGTAAAATGTAAACTCTGACATTTGTAACTGTGCAGCACTGGGAAACTATTACCTGAAAGATAACCAGCTCTGCCTGCTCCAATTTATGCTGTTCTTCTGCAATGTCATCACTTAAACGACCGTCTTGCCATGCAACCATCATCTCATTGTTGTATATAAAGTGCTCAGGATTCTTCAGATCACCTGCAATATTTACAGTAAAACAGTGGTCTAACAGTTCACTAATAATTGCAACTGCAGTGCACTTTTAAGAACCTATAGCCATAGTAGCATTTTAATGTAGGTGCACTTTGTATTTTCAGCAAATTCCTACCCTTAATATCCTCTGCAGTTGCTGAGGCTTTGAAGTTCATAGCATATAGATCCGACACTAGGACTTTATAGCCTTGCTTTGTCAGAGCCTGAACCGCTACATCCCGCGCAGCAGCGTTGAATGAGGCGGGACTCTGGTGGGCATAAACAATCAGTGCTGTCTTCTGTGCTGCTTACATACATACATAAGGGGAAAGAGAAAGAGTTCATTGGTATTTGAGATCATTTACCCACAGGATGGGTTGTGGCACTTCAACCAATAGTTTTCCTGTAACTGTACTGTAGGCTCTAGGCCAGGGATCCTCAAATCTGGCCCACGAGATCCACTTTCCTGCAGAGCACCTGAGCATGCTGATCAATGTCTTCAGGATCATTAGTAAATCACAGGTAGGCGAGTTTGATCAGGGTTGGAGCTGAACTCTGCAGCGCATGGGCCCTCCAGGACAAGATTTGAGGAACCCTGCTCTAGGCTGTTGACAAAATGAGAGCTGACGAATTTCCCTTTTCCCTTATCAACTTCTGGTTTTTATTGACTAGCCAGATTACACAAAATTTGATGACAATGCACAGGTTTTGAAACTAAAACTATACACATTCTATTTTCTAGCAGTGGCATTCCGTCCATATAAACTGCGAACCCAGGCTGTCTTGAGAGAACGAGTTCACGGGCTAATATATAAACATGATTATAAGTTGATCCCTTGTCGTTTGTGATGTAACTTAAATCTTAATAAAGTGTTGGGAATAAGCATGTAAAATTATTTATTTGAAAACAACGGTAATTTTCTAAGTCAGTTGCGGTTGCTTCCGGGCGAGTGGATTTCAGGATTGTAGCGCGTTCTCAGTGATTTGCTGGTCTGCGGGAGATTTCATGCGCAAGGTAAGCTGTCCGCAAAGCGCCAGCCCAAGCGGAAAAATGTGCTGTTGCCGTCAGATCTCGATTGCCGAAACTTGACCAAATCATATAAAAAAAACATCATAACTGTATTTTTCCCGCATACTTGTGTCGCTTACAATTAAAGTAATTGATTGAAGATCAGAGGTAATTTTCTAAGTCAGTTGCGGTTGCTTACGGGCGAGTGGATTTCAGGATTGTAGCGCGTTCTCAGTGATTTGCTGGTCTGCGGGAGATTTCATGCGCAAGGTAAGCTGTCCGCAAAGCGCCAGCCCAAGCGGAAAAATGTGCTGTTGCCGTCAGATCTCGATTGCCGAAACTTGACCAAATCATATAAAAAAAACATCATAACTGTATTTTTCCCGCATACTTGTGTCGCTTACAATTAAAGTAATTGATTGAAGATCAGGCCCTTTCTTTCAGAACATGCAACACAACTCAAGTTCAAGCTCTTGTTCTATCCAGGCTGGACTATTGCAATGCTCTCTTGGCAGGTCTTCCAGCCACTTCTATCAAAACTCTACAATTAATCCAAAATGCCGCTGCAAGATTAATCTTTAATGAGCCGAAAAGAACGCATGTCACACCTCTGTTCATCAATTAGCTCTGGCTACAAGTAGCTGCTCGCATTAAATTCAAGGCATTAATGTTTGCCTACAAAACCACCACTGGCTCTGCACCCATTTACCTAAATTCATTACTTCAGAGTTATGTGCCTTCTAGAAGCTTGCATTCTGCAAGAAAAAAGCGTCTGCTAAATGTAAATGTAAAGTGCTTTTCTGAATTTATTGTTGTTTGCAAGGTTACTTGGCAATATTTTAAAGATATTATTATTATTTTGTTTATTTAATTTCAATTGTTGTTTTTTTATGTTTTGCATGGTCTATTATTGGAGTAGTGTCACTCGGGTGGGAGTTTTAACTCCTAATTCACTGGGAATAAAAATGAATGAATGAATGAATGAATGAATGAATCATTCAGTCGATGCAGAGACATATAGCATGGGGGTATCCCCCATCTCCCCGCGTGCCCCCTCAGATTTGTGAGGCAAGTGGATTTTGAATGCAGCTTACAAAAGACAAAAAATAGCCGATTAATATTTTCTATATTAAATACAATCACACCGGCGTGATTAGAACGTTCAGTCCGTCATATCATCAGCTGCTAAATTCAAATCTGCATTCGCTGGCTGGCGCTGAGCCAGAGACAGATGCGTTTTTACAGCACTGCGCATTAACCAATCACACACGATGCTGTTGAGCTTATGAATGCAATGACCAATCAGAGGTGTTCAGATGAGTCATCGCTAAAATGGCAGCGCTTTCTTCCCTCGCTCGCTCACTGAATTCCTCTTTCTGGCGAATTCTCTCGTCAGAAACAACAAAGTGCAATTGTTTGTAGGAATCTGTAAGATATTAATTTCATAGTGTAAACAGCTTCAGTGATTTTAATGGGAGTTTTTGAGAGTGCTTGAACTAGACTGTCAGTGAAAATGTTCTTTGCTCTCTCTCTGTACAATGAAAGTGTTATGATTAGTAGCCTAACTTGCAATGTTTTTATTCACATTAACTTTCAATGTTAAATTCACATTAAATATAAACTCAGTCGTATTAAAAATATGTTATGGCATGACACCCATATCTGTTAATTAAGTAAACAGACAGGTTTTTATGCATAGTTAATATATTAGCCTACATTGTTAGGTTACCTTGACCATCATAGATCAACATAATCTATAAAGGTGAGAATCAAGATATTTCATGATACATTTAATGCGTTTGGGGATGTAAATTAAACATAAGTGCTGTTGTGGCTGTGTGTCACATGACGACCCCCCCACAACTCGTGCCCCTTCAAAAATGATGAGTGCATGACGCCCCTGCCCCACACCCTCTGAATATTACGTATCATAAAGTAACTACGTTATTTGGGGGTTTTTACTCGGAAAAGCAGCTGTTTTCTAGCATTCGAATAACTACCTGAAACTAGGCTATAGAAAAAGGATTGGAGATGAATTTCCTTTACAAATAAAGAAGGAATGTGCATACTTTTAAATCGACACCTGCCACGGTGTTTTTCTCTTTGAGTGTGTCTTAAAAGCGATGAGGAGGGGGGCTTAATCTTATCACTCAGCATACCCGGGGGTCATATGATGCGATTTCAAGTTTTCCTTTCTCTTTGGAGTGTTACAAGCTGATTGTGCATAGATAAGATCCCTGAAGTTGCAAAGACTAAAGTCTCAAAACCAAAGAGATATTCTTTATCAAAGTTAAGACTGCCACGCCCCCCTAAAACGGCTCATTCTAACACGCCCCCACATATCTACCTTACTATGTGAGAAGATTTGCATAATGCCGCCCAAATGTTCACGCAAAGAAAGAAGGCGTGGTTTCAGTAACCGCAGTTAGTGTTGATGCAGCCATGTCAGGGAGACGCTGTGTGTTTCTAGGCGAAAGCAAAAGCACTTTATTTGGCCTTCCGAAAGTAGATGCATTTAGAAATCTTTAAGATTACTTACAACAGAACAGCAATGCATTTTATGGACGACCGTTTCGTGAACCTAGGAGAGGAGGTAATTCTGACTTTGCTATGACAATCTGGCGCTTCTGAATCAGCTACTGTTTTGTTATTAGTTTAAGTATTTGCTATTGACTGTTCAAATGCGGAGTTTTGCGCATCGTGCGTGTGTGTGTGTGTGCGTGCGAGTGAGCGAGAGCGAGAGAGAGCGAGAGCGAGAGAGAGAGAGAGACAGCGAGACATCACAGTGGAGACAGCTGTCTTAACCGTGGCGCTTGATCAAATAAAATAACACTCTTAGCAGTGCTATATAAACTATGGTAACACTTTATAATAACCTTCATTAATAAATTATTAACAAACATTATATAATGCTTAACAGATCAAAAATCTACAAATGATTTTAAGAGAAACTATACAATGATTAAAAGCTTTTTAGTGATTTTAAGCACTTCACAAACAAAATGTATGAGTTCCAGCTGATTAAAACAAATGCAAGAATGTTCTATTAGGAGCTGTCAAATCTATTAGCATATTCCTGCAAGGCGTAAAAATAAGACATTGAAAATGTAATACTAAAAACACCAAAACTGGTTTGTCAAGGAGGTTGGCATCTTTGTGTGCAAGGGAGTTGAAAATCAGGTAGAGCAGCAAAGAAGCCAGAGGCCCAGAGTGGTATAAACGGTTAGAATGTTTGTGGTGCATTGGCTCAGTCAAACTGTAATTGAACCTCAGGTGTAAATGCAACTGAACCCAGTCCAAAAGGGGGACTATACGTGTCACATGAGCCAGCTTGGTGTCTGCAAATTTCCATTGT